ACAAAGTTGATGTCAAACCTCTCTACTCTCGGCAAATAAATGTAAACAAAAACGTGGCATACAAGCCTCAAGCCGAAGAATATCTATGGAAACTAACGTAGCTAGAAAGCAGGCTGTAACCCATGAAACATGCAGACACGCTCTCTTATCAACCCGTTTTTTTTTTCGTTTTTATACCGAAAAAGAAAAAAGAAACACAAAAAAACGTCATCGATTCTAGTTATAGAGTAATAAACATAGCGACGTGGCGTAAAAACACGAAGAGCCGACAGGAGCAGATGACACTCTGCACTTCCGCTTGCTCGTGACTTCCGGAAGCCGATTATAAACGCTTTGCAGCAGCAGTACATGGGCGCCGCCATAACTGACCTTTCGTTTTTGTTTCCTCTTATTCCGTTTACTTCACTTCATCGTTACCACGGCAGGACAGGTTATTCCCATTCAGGTTTCTAGTGTGCCTTCTTTCCTATAGCATAAGCCTTTGTGGAGGCTCGTCAATTCTCGCTTCAGTGACTCGGCATCTCGGCAAGACAAGAGAAGGACCGCAATGGCGGTTGTAATCTGGCTCGTGTGCAGAGCGCCAGTTGAACGCCGCGACTGCACTTGCCCTGCGCCATCGCTTCACAGACTCCAAACTTTCCTGGCATAAAAAAAAAAAAACATAATTAAAAAAATAAACAGCGCGAAGACGTGAACAAAATAAAAAGGTAACCGGCAGAACACAGCGCTGGTTCTCGACTGAAGTGAATTCATGTCAGCGTCTAGTATAAATTACGTGCATGTCGCCCAAATATTCATTTTAGTTTTTATTATGTATGTATACCAACTAGCCCAAACTTCAACATTAATCGACTCTTCTGCGATCGCGAAAAACTAGTTCATACCTATACTTAATATTGACCAGACCACACACGAAATACGCTTGGCGTAGAAACAGAACCAGTTTTCTATCTTGACAGTTATCGCAACCTCTAAAAAAAATGTCGGTTCGTCTATTGATCCGTAAATCACATCGGAGATTCAATCACACGTATCTACGGAAGATTTTGGAGGCCGAAAGAAATGCGCTTTCTCCGAAAACTTATATTGCTATATTTTTAATTTCATCTTATTTTAACATACTCCCAGCCGTGAGGCCAAAGCAGGTCCGCAGGCAATTGAAATGTACAGGCATATTTTAGTATTCAAAATGCAATGAATAATACACATATTTTCACTATTCACGGCATCTGTGGTAAAGCAGTTCTATTCATCGGTATGCATGTAACAAAAATAAAGTTTCTAAATCAGTCCATGTTGAATAGACGCCGTAATAATTTTGTTTGTCTCGTTCTAGTTGCATTATTGAAATTTGCCAATGTAACATAATTATGAATATCAAAAAAGAGATGACCATAAATCAATTGAAAAAATGTGTTTCGGGTAAGTATTTATCTGGTACTTATGGGCAGAAGGTTCGCATCGGTTTTCTGCAGAAAGACTGAGTTTGTGGATCGATAGCGATTTCAAATGAATCGGACAGCTTTAGTTTGTATGCATTCTATTTCGCGAATATTTTGTTGTGTGAATGGTTCCCAAACTAAGCTTGCATATTCAATCGTTGGTAATATGAACGACTTATCTGCAGTTAATACGAGTTCTGTACCGGCAAATTCTAAATTCTGTCTATGTGTCCAAAGTTTTTTAGCGCTTTATTTGAGGAGGAGGAAATAACTTTATTGAAAAAAAGGAGGCTTGTTCTAGGTGAGGACCCTAATCTAGGGCTCCAGTGCTTTCCGTCGCCATTTTTCCTTGCTCAACCAGCTCTCGCTGGCTTTCAGCAGACGAGCTGAACATCGCAGCTTCCCAGTTCTCGTAGGTAGGGTTGAACTTCGGAAAAAGAGAGAGATTAGATAGGCATGCCCACATTACATGGTAGAGTGTCGGATACCCCCCACAAAGGGGGCACTTATCGAAGTATCTATCGGGACAGAAATTGTGTAGGTTAGCTAAGTGTGTGTATGTATTTCTCCGTATTTGACGCAAGGCCGCAGCCTCCTCGCGAGAAATGTTATTGTTGGGAGGCGGAAACTATCCACCGAATTCAGAAAACTCACTCAAACTACACTCAAACTGAAGGGCCCCTCCACTTCCTCGGTGAAGGCGCGAGGGCCGGTGCTGGCCAATCGCGAGGACGGATCCGCCGTCGCGATTGGCCAGCGCCGGCCCTCGCGCTTTCCTCGAGGAAGTGGAGGGGCCCTTCAGTTTGAGTGTAGTTTGAGTGAGGTTTCTGAATTCGGCGGTATGTCTCATTTCTTTCTGATGTACAAGAATCTCTGAGAAGTGATGTGGTACCGGTTCTGGTGATACTAGGGAGCCTTCATGTGCGCTTTGCTAGGTTGATGCCACCCTTTGTAATACCGCTCGCCGACAAACCAGCAACAATTTTTGTTCTCGGCGATAATCCGCGGGGCTTATGACCCTCCCGGAAACAACCACCTTATCTCACAAGTTCGGAGCAGCGTTGTGGAACCCACGGAGGGAGGATTAGCATTTTCCCCCTCGAATGGGAAAACCGATGGACACAAAGGCCACTTTCCGGTGCGCGGGGAAACAATGAGAGGAACAAAATGGCGGTGGAAGAGGATGTGGGAAAGGGAAACAGGCAGTTGGCATCACTCTATGCGAAGCGCACATGAAGGCACCCTAGGTGATACGTTTGCAGTGAAGGTGCCCGGAAGAGGGGGGGGGGGGGGGGGGGCGGATACTTTCCTTCGACGGACTGGTGTCCCGGTGTCCACACCAGCCTGACGTTGGGAATACCATTTCCACTTTTGAGTAAGAGTTGGTTTGCTTTGTACCGTTTCAGGGCTGCTTTAGAGTAGTGATGATTACTAGAAGTGATTGGTTTGTTGGACCGGTGATGGCCAGTGCTATGGTCATCTCCTCGGCCACTACTGAATGGGTGGTTCTTACTGAGGCTGTGACGATTGTGTGAATCTTGTGGTCGGTGACACTTGCTACCGCTGCAGTCCGGTCCGGATACGTTAGCTTGTCTGTGTGTCTGACGTTATTCTCGTCATCTAGGTCTCTTGAAGAGCATCGGCTCGTACCTTCTGGTGGCCCGCGTGCAGGGACGGATTCATGTTGCGCGGGATTGTTGTACCTTGTTTCAGAATTCCTGTGGCATTTGAGTGGTCTCTTGATAAGTGCTTGGGATGGGTATTCTCAGGGAGCTGATCACTCGACGTCCCGTTTGTGTGAGGGCAAGGCTCTCTTTCTGCTTAGCTAGATGAGCATTCGCCAGTTTCTGGTAGGTGTTGTGGACTCCTAGCTGTAGGGGCTTGGCGTTGTGTGTGTACGGGGGTAAATCCAAGGTTATCTTGCAAGCTTTGTGGATGATTACATCCATATTGCTTTTGTCCCTCGCGGGAAGTGTGAGGTAGGGAGTTTCATACACGATTTGGCTGATGATGAGTGCCTGCGTGGTCAGGATTAGGTCTGGCTCCTTGAGGCCGTGTCAACGACTTTTACCTGGCTCAACATGAGGATTGCTTCCGTGGTTGTATTCGTGAGTTGGTTAATTGTGTAGCCTGTTCTGCCGTGTTGCTCGATCTATAATTTGGAATCACAAGGTTGATTGAATTTTCAGAGCGCAGCTCTTAGGCGGTCGCTTCCGGCTTGTGCGGCGTCGCCGTCGCCGTCGGCGTAACCGCAATGTCACGTGACCCCCAAGTCACGTGACCACCTTCCCCGAGGTCACGTGACCGCCCCTCCCCGAGGTCACGTGACCACCTGAAGTCACGTGACCCCCTCCCCCGAGGTCACGTGACCCCCTTGACGTCACACGACCCCCCTGAGGCCACGTGACCGTAAGGAGTCACCTATCTCTCAGTATGCCTCCATCTTCCTCCTGAAGAGCTGCGCTCCAACCGGCGTTACAGGGAATTGTAAACGGCTTTCATTTTTTTTATTGGCATATTTTGTTTTGACAGGGGTGTCAAGTCGATCGGGACAAACACCAATAAACCTTGCAGGTGTAGAAAGATACTCACCGAGCCCCGTCGCTGTATTTCTTTGTGGGCATACTTTATCGCGCTGATTCCGATCGTTCTGTACGGCCTTGAATGAGGAGTTTTGGTAGATTCTTCCGATAACTTCGATAACAATACCCCGCACTCCGCGGACACTTTTGCGCACGCACCTTATTATTATCGGACTTTGTTATCAGAGGTGTCGAAACGATCTGCTAAAACTCCCTTAAAAGGTTAAACTACTTCCGTCGATCTGCTTAAAAGTTGCCTTGCACTGCTGTTTTCGGCGAGTATTGGAGTATACCATACAGACAAAAAAAAGTATGGTAAATTGGAAGTCAACCCCGTTGAGTACGCGAAAAGTTCAAGCATCACAAGCGTTTATATCATTTAGCAGCACGGCTAGCCTGCTCAGTCAGACGCCTACGTTCGCGGCGCTCTTCATCCGCTAATTTGACTCGTGGAATACGTACACTTCAAACGATAAACACGCTGATCTTCCAGAACGTTCTAACGCACCCCTCTCCCTCCTCACCTCCTCGTTTACCTCTCCTGTTCACTCTACCCCTAGCCACATGACGTCCCGGTGTGCCGATCGAAGGCCACCTCACCCCTCCTCTCCCACCCTTCAACCAATCAGTGCCGAGCCTCGCGGCCACGCTTTTATCGAGGCTTCGCGTTTGGGCTGCACGAAGTGCCGTACACTTAGCCAAAGAACGTCTCACGTTAAAAAAAAAATAAAGAAATCAGAAGTAAAATGTTGTTAATCCCAGGCTTCTACCATAGGCTCCCCTGTGGAGGACAGTTCCACAAAGCACAGGGGAACGCCGAACTTTATCTAAAGATGGTGAGAGGCGTGTGCAAAAACATGTAAGTACCTCAACGCATATACCGCATTCGGCACACCTCTGCGTAAGTCCAGACGTGCGGCGCTCAGGTGTCGTCCACGTCCTAAGTGGCATCGAAGTTCAACAAATTCCCGCTTACCTGTAGTAATCTTCCTTGCAGTAGATGTTCCCGTCCCTGGCGAAGCAGGTGAGCTCTGAGTCGAGCTGCTGCTTGCAGTGGCAGCAGCGCAGGCAGTGGGTGTGCCATTGGCGCTCCACCGCCAGCAGGTAGAAGCGGTCGGCGATGGGCGCACCGCAGGCCGCGCACAGCTTAGCCGTGGCCGGTGGCGAGGCAGCGGACCCCGGCGATGGCCTGAGCGACTGCGTCGATGAGTCGTCGGGGTCCGAGCTGATCACGGGCATGGCTCGCTCGGCCTCGGCTCCCTGCGACACAGAAGAGGACAAACGTGTTGGTGTGCGGCCGAAAGGGTCGATAAAAGATGGTCCTCTACTGTGTATACTTAGGCTACGAGCGACGAGTCAGCACGCGGACATGGGCTTGAAACATGCCTTTTTTAGTGAAAGTGCTCGCGCAGCGAGAGCACTTTCTATGCAAAGCGGCGATTTATAGAAATAATCTTAGGCTAAGGCGAGACAAAATGAGACATGTGGGCTAAATGCGACATTTAGGGTTTAAGGCATATGTGTTAGAATATTAAAATGTGATTAATTTGATACTTTGCCGCCTTATTTAAAACAAATATCTGCTGCAATTAGCGGAAACACCTTGGCAAAAGAAACTGCAGTTATTGTTCACGGGTTGATGAATCGCCAAAATGGGGTGAAATTCTGCACTTGCAATCTTCTAAAGGCCTATAGCCGAGTTTCGAAAAAAAAAAGAAAAGAAAAAAAGCCACTATGCTACGGCAATTTCTTATTCTATTCCTCTATTTTAAGTTTCCTGGTAAAATTGTTTTGCTTTATGTTTTTATTATCATGACTAGAAGATTGTCTAAAGAGCAGTATATGCAAAAGACAAAGAGCGGCAATATAACCACCAACTGGCGTAAACTGATTTCTGTCGAGTTTAGTGATTGTTTTAGAGCTGTAGCTTTTTTTTTTTACCCTAGTTTCTATAATGGTCCGGAAGTGCAAAGAAAAGAAAAACATCTAGGACTTTGCGGTGCAAACGTTACACGAAGAAAGCACATGAACGATGCATGAGCAGCGTCAGCGAAAAATGCAAAAGGGTGTTTTGAAAAAGTAAATTTGGATCCAAAAAAATTCTTTGCGACAAGAAGAGTAAAATATTTTTGTGCCTATTGTGTGTATAAAGAAGGCTCTTTTTGGACGCACTTAAAAGAATGTGCAACGAATAATTTACACTTTTGATCAAACGAATGATGCAGGGGAGGAAGATTATTCAGAGTGAAGAGGATCGTCTGCAGAACAATTCGTTCACTGATTAATCCAGTTAAGTGGAAGCGCTCTCCAAAACGCGCGACAAGTGCCAATATGACTGGCAGTCCGTGGTGTACAAGAACTATGTTGCAAACATGTAGAAAGAGGAGACACATAAGGGGCGATACAGACGGTACAGTCCCGTCTGCATCTTTCTTATGTGTCTCTTCTTTCCAAGTGCTTAAAAGTACCAACACGCTCAAATAGTACAAGTATGTTGCAACACTGCGCCCCTTCTGTTTTTCTATTGCACGGCGTGCGAATAGTGGACTCACAAAGATTGCGTGGGGGCCCGCGCCGCGGAGTATACATCAATTGCTCAAAATACAAAAAAAAAAAAAAAAAAAAAACTCACCTGCCTTTTTTTTTTCCTTATTTTGTGGATGTCTCGTTTGTCCCCGGGGAAGGGGGTTGGGCCAAAATGAGATATTTGTGACCCTTAGTTACCAGTAAATATCTTGTAGTTCTTCTAACTCGAGACTAGTCGTTTTGACTGAACGCAATCCTACGACAACCAAAAAGAGTGTAGTAAACGATTTTTTTTATTCACTATAAGTAGATACAGCCTCGATTTTGCAATTTTTCGTCTCATTTTACCCCGCCTGACCCTAATAATACGATTTGTTCTCATTTCAAGTAAAAACCCACACTAGACGGCTTGACGAGCTCTCGGCCCCCGTACAGAGTGCAGCAGCAACAGAAGCCGCATGACAGGAAAGTTCAAGCGAGGTACACATCATTTATCCCTAAGCACAAAAAAAAACAGTACAAAAATCCTCCCCGCAATTTTATCTTGCTGAATGAAGTAGGCCTCCAGGACAGCATTTAGTGAATTTTTTTTTTCATCCTGTTATCCCTCATACTTCATTCCTTTTGCCAAAGGCTCATGAGCCAGTAGCCATCATACCACTTATGTCAGAGTTAAAAGCATATCTTCTATTAATCATTTTAGAACCCAGGAATCCTAGTTTTAACCCTGTCTACTTCGACCTGGGTCAACATTGTACCGACGTGCTGTCGTGTGTCGCTATTGCGAGATACATGTCAAATCCCTCAGGATACAGTAGTGGCACTGCATGGCTGAATTTCGCATCTACAGCGGAGACATCACAAGCCTATTGGTGCTGACTTCCAGCTCTCTAATCATACACACAAGAAGATTGCATGCTTTATTTTGGGTGAATTAATTATACTGGTCGAGATTTCGCTATAGTGTATTTATAGTCACCGACTGGACAAGAAGAGCAGACCGTCATTTTCAGATGCCCGTATTTCAAGCTCGCGTTCGCTGCCTTCCATAGAGCTTTGACAGCGCCTGTACGTTTGCAGCTTGCGAAACGCCGTAATTGTTTTCGAAGGTGGGAAGCATGCGCCGAAGGCGGGACAACTAAATAATATCCCTGCCGTTCTTAGGCCGTGTCACACTGCTTACACGTCAGAGAAAAGACAGTCTGCATATGGATTAGAACTAGAGTAATTGCGAGATCCGTGCTTCGGATGCCGCATCGCAACGAGTTGAAGGAGGAAACTTCACACGTGGCATTCAAACGACTGATATTGCGGTGATTCGTGTCTGCATATTGTCTTTTGGTGTATGCATGAGCAGTGCGACTCCCAGCTTTATTTTACACTCGAAATAACCATTATAGGTGAGCAGGGTTGAAGGAAATCATTTGCCGCGGTTCAGAGTGAAGTCGCGAATGACAAATGTATCACCCGAGTATCAAACGAGTAAAACCCTGCACTCTTTTAGTTCAACTTTTGCTCTCTTTCTCGGAGAGAGAAGGTGATGAGATCGCACGGGGATACCAGAGAGCAACGCTCTGACCGAAATGATTAGCGGGTACACGCGAAGCTATAGCTGCCCTGCTGTCTACTCTCTCTTCGAACGCATTCGAACTTCGAACGCTGGCGTCCAGCTGTCGCGTTCGGGAACTGGCGTTGAATGTGTATACATCACTGATTATTTGAGCACGATCCTCAGCCAAACGCTGACACATCGAGGGGTTGCGTTGGCCGGCCGCGGGGTCAGCGCATCACGAACGTACAACTTTTTGTCATTCTCATGGGTTTTGCCTTCAACCTACAGCCTCTAGGAGCGCGACGGTTCGATCTCGTCCCACTTAAAAGAGTAGGACTTTATTGCGGCTCATATGTCTAACACACCAATGGCTTCAAGGTGGAAACTCGGCGTGAATGTCTAATTGTGGCTCATATGTCTAACACACCAAAGGCTTCAAGGCGTCACTCGGCGATCACATAATTCGCTATGGAATAAACCTGTTAAGTGTTCCCGATCTGTTTACGCGAATGACTGGCTCGGACGTTGTTCGTGAGAAAGGTTGGACGCCAGCGAGATGGCCGTGCTACCCGAGAGACCCTGCTGGGCGTTGGCACCTCAGCGGCCGAAGGGGGATTGATAGTACATTTCACAAGCTACGTGCAGCAGGGTCGACGCTACGTGGCGCGCCGAGGCGGTTGCACCTGCACAGGGGGGGGGGGGGGGGGGGGAATGTCCTTCTGAGGCCCCAACACCTATTGTCGCTGTTCCCCAGCAGGCCTCTGTAGAATGACACAGTGAGCTAGGCGCGCTCGTTGGACGGTTGGTTGAGAGCCGTGTAGCATCCACAGTGCTGCACGCAGCTTGCGAAATGTGCTATAGGTCACTGTTGTCCCGAGGTAGGGTAGCTAGAGTGTGTGCACCGCAAAGTCCATGAGGCGTCAAAATAAATAGGTTGGTTATGTGGTTTTGGAATTCGGGGAGAAATCGGGTTTAACCCGATTCTCCTGCAACATGTTCGGAGTGTAAAAATCGGATAAAATCGGGTTTCACTCGAAAACAAACAACCCTAAACATATTGTACTGTCGTGGCCGACCTGCACCCAGCACAAACCAGCGGAATGCGGTCATGCGTCCAGGGATCGGGCGCTGGCACGGGGCCACTCCAGTGTGGGTGTGCTCTCTGCGCCAACGCTACACCGTTGGGCAACTGAGGGCGAGGAGTAGAAGCAGACTTGTAAGTAACGCGTTACAAGTAATGAATTACTTTTAATCGACTACATTTTACTGTAATTTTGTTACGCTTCAATTACTTCCTTTAACGAAAAACTATCCTTCTAATTCAATTACTTTATTGCTGTAATCGATTACAAAACTACCCATTACACATTTTCTCAATTTTTTTTTTTATTTGGGGGGGGGGGGGGGGGGGGCGGGGCTGGTGGGGATAGATATGCTGGAGTCACTCAGGTCTGGGCAACGGTCACTTTTTTCTCTTTTTCTTTTTCGAAACCACTAAGCACGGGACCTCGAGGAACGGTAAGCCACTTCACTATGCTTCGTTCCCTGGGTACATTGTTTTGGTACACCGGAGACTATGTCCGGGTGTGTAAAATGACATTACCCAACCTCTTGTAAGTAATCTATTCAAACAACGTTCTTTTTTTTCTTTTTCTAAGAGTGATTGGGTGTTTTGGCGTCACTCACTCAGCTCTAAGCGAAAACGGACAAAGCTTTCTTTTTTTTAGGAACAACTGAGCACGAGACCCCAAGGATTATGCTGCCGTAAAAAGAAATTTGAATGAAAAGTAACGTGGGAAGTAATCGATTATTTTCGAGTGACTTTTCGATTACTTTTTGAAGCTGTAATTGTAATTGTAATCGGTTACTTTTTTCAGTAACGTGTACACGTCTGCGTAGAAGAAACTACGGAGGAAAGAGTGGACAATTCGGTGGGTTCACGCGTGGTAAAACAGACGAGGAAACCGCACAGAGTACGCGAAGAGTAAGTTCGTCAGCCTCTTTTGCAGAGGTTGCGGTGACGTGACAACGCCAAGCTCTGATTGGCTCGATTGGAAGGAAAGTGGATAGACCTCAAAAGAGCTTGCTTCGATGTCTACCCTCTATCCTTCAATCAGAGCCAGTCAGAGCTCGGCGTTTTTGACATCATCGGAACCCCTGCGCAAGTAGCAGACGAACTTGC